TGGAGCCGGGGGTAAGAGGCACAGCTGGAGGATCAGCCACAGGCAAGGCCGAGGAACAACTTAGACACGTGGCACCAGCAGTTTGAACCCTGCCCTTATCCCATCTAGTTAAAAGTGTGCGTTCTGAAGAGTACATAAGAAGATAAGAATCTCCGCAGATTATCAGGCTGATAGTCCAGCACCCTGTTCTCACAGTGGCCACCACATGCCTGTCGGAAGCCCGCAAACAGGACTTGAGAACAAGATGTCTCTCCCCTCCTGCGGCTTCCAGCAAGTGCTTTCTTTCTTTTCTGTCCTTAATATTTCAATGGTCAGCTTTGTTGGATGTTCCAGTTGGAGGCCGGATTAAGACCTTTAGAGGCCCTAAGCACTTAAAAGATTTTGGTGGCCCCATATATATCTAATTCAAAATACGGATGAGAATAAACCATAAAATATTTTTTTCCGTTTTCGAAATGAAATGAAACCTACAGTAAGATGGAAAACGATGTTTATTTTTTAATACTTCCACTTTATTTCTGAAAAAAGTTCTCCTACTTTTTCTCATGGCGGTCTTTGATCAGATCCTCAAAACTAGTCATACATATCTGCTTCTGTACTTAGCAGAGATAAGACACCCAGCATGCCTTGCTGCATAGTTGTTCTACAGGGATTTTTAATATATTTCAGCTGAGAAAATAATAATAATAATTATTATTATTATTATTATTATTATTATTATTATTATTATTTATGCCCCGCCCATCTGGCTGAGTTTCCCCAGCCAATCTGGGCAGCTCCCAATCGAGGGTTAAAAACAATACAGCATTAAATATTAAAAATTTCCCTAAACAGGGCTGCCTTCAGATGTCTTTTAAAGATAGGATAGTTACTTATTTCCTTCACATCTGAAGGGAGGGCGTTCCACAGGGCGGGCGCCACTACCGAGACGGCCCTCTGTCTGGTTCCCTGTAACCTCACTTCTCGCAATGAAGGAACTGCCAGAAAATGAACATTTTGTGACTATTAATGTTAAAAATCCAGCAATGGAAAATAACTGTGGTGCCCCCGCTTGATGCCCTAAGCATGTGCTTATTTTGCTTAATTGTTAATCCAGCTCTGGTTCTAGTCTGAAAACGGCCACAGAGGGTGAGGGGTCTTTCCAACCAAACTGGCCCCCTTCCTAACAAGCCCCACCATGGAATTCACTGTTTTCAGTCTTGCCACATCCTGAGATCATATAGTCATTCAGCTGCCCACTACAACCCCAAGATCTCTTTTCTGATTAGTCACCCCCAGTTCAATTCTGTGAAGTTAGGATGATGGTGATGGTGATGATTTTGGGGTGTGATGTTCATCAATGTACAGTGGTTACAGACGCTTCAGGTTACAGACTCCGCTAACCCAGAAATAGTACCTCGGGTTAAGAACTTTGCTTCAGAATGAGGACAGAAATCGTTCGTCGGCCATGGGAGGCCCCATTAGCTAAAGTGGTACTTCAGGTTAAGAACAGTTTCAGGTTAAGAACGGACCTCCAGAACGAATTAAATTCTTAAACCAAGGTACCGCTGTATACTTAATCTGAAATCCATCTGTCATTTTGTTGCCTGTTCACTCATCTCTATTCTTTATCCCATAGCTTTCCCAGAGGCCGACAAACGGGCCTTCCTTGAAAATTTGGTTGTCTCTGAGGTGACACCCACTACGCTGCAGCTCACATGGGAAGCCCCCGAGGGAGAGTTTGATTTCTTTTCGGTCCAGCGCAAGATCTCTGTTCCGGATAGTGAAATGAGTCCCACACCGACCAAGAAAATCAACGTGACCGGGGATGAACGCTCTGTCGTGTTTCGGGGTCTTTCGCCCAACACTGAGTACAGCCTTACTGTCTATGGCATCCAGGATGGGTCAGAAGCGGCCAGCATCAACACAGTGGCAACGACAAGTGGGACAGGTAAGAAGGCCACACGTGCCACCTCGCTACCCAGAAAAGCAGGAGGAAAAAATCTTAATCTCCTGAAGTCTGTCGGCTGAATTACGCTTACTTGCATGCATGGGTAAGTGCTGGGTGAGGGAAATCCGAATCTGCCATTTACTTGTTCTGCCATTTACTTGTGAGACTTGCCCCACAGCTATTGGCTGAGATTCCATGATGTCATGGAATGCTTGTTGTAAGAAGCGGTCTCTAGCTACTGAACAGATTTGTTGATACAGCTCATGTAAGAAAAGCAGAAGGCCAGTTAAGTGTGGGGGAAGGGAGGGAAACCCACACCATGTCCTGCTGGACCCACAAGAGGCCTGGTGTTGCTGGGCAGAAATGGAATGAAGAAATGGGGAAGACTGAGGAGGCAGAGAGCCTATGAGATTGGTTTCGCGGGAGAATAAAGGATAAAGGATGATAGCTTTTGGCATGAAGTTAGGAGAGGGAAAGAAAGCTGTCTTCACTGCTGCTGCTGCCAGTTTCGCAAGCGAGACATGTTGGCACCGGTAAAAGTGGCAATGCAAGCAGTTTCCAGCAGCCACCATTCACTGCCCCCCCCCTCAATAATCTGTTAGCAGCTCTACATGATGATGTAGCATTTGTCCCAAGGGGCTACGGGGGGGAGGAGGAGGTAGAGCATGGTGGCTACAAGGAAACATTTGCATCACCACTGCTAAACCCTCTTCCACCCTTCATTTTAACCCATTTTCTTGCAGTGCTGAAATGCCCTCATTTTTCTACCCACATATGAAGCATCAAAAATGAGAGGGACCTTTTAGAAAACCAACTTGTCCCTCATTTGCTCTGCAAACGTAGAATTATTTTAACTTCTTTTGTTCAATAAGGCATTAAAAAAAAAAGTAAGGATTTCCATCACACACACACACACACACACACAACACACACAACACAGCCAGCTGCAACCACCAAACTGTACCAGTTAACCTAGGCTAAGAGGGCCATGGGGGGGGGGGGCGCAGAAGCGGTTATCTCGAAGGGTCCGAGCTGATCTTTTAGGAGGCAGCGAGAAGCAGCCCCAACAGCTGCAGCCCTGGCTTAGCTCGCAGGGTTCGGCTGGCGTCCAGCTGTGGTTTCCTTTGTGAGACCCGAGGAATTAATCTTTGGCGTTTCTCTGTTTCCTTTGCGGTCAGCCAAACTGGCCACAGTTAATCCCAGGAGAAAGGGAGGAGGATTTCAAGTGGGGGGGGGGAGAGCGAGCAACAGCGAGGCAGGTGCCAAAGCGTGGGTATTGTTTTGGATGCCGAGGGCCAAACGATGCGTTATGTTGGAGTCATGCAACTGGAACCCCCTACGTAATTTTATTCTCCAAAAAAGCAGGCTATTGGGCTCAGGGCCACTCCATGGGGAGAGCAGGGGCGGCGGATCCAGCCCTGTGTCCCCTGTGCTGCTGCTGCTGCAGCCCAAATCCAAATGCAGCTCCTCTCTTCCACTCCAAACTTTTTTAAAGGAAGAACATGACATTAGCAGCTCCAACAACGCAGCTCCGAGCTCTCATGCATGCAACAAAACAATCTGTTCCATTTTCTCTTTCTCCTTCCAGAGCTGGATAGCCCCCGGGACCTGCTCTTCAATGACATCCGCGAGACCTCCGTGGTGGCGAACTGGAGGTCACCGTCATCTCGTGTTGATGGTTATAAAGTTTCCTTCCAGCCCTCAGATGGAGGTGAGGACTTGTATCCTGTCGCCCGTGGGGTAGACGGGGTGGCAAAAGGGACGCAAGGGGCGCTGTGGTCTAAACCACTGAGCCTCTTGGACTTGCCGATTGGAAGGTTTGTGGTTCGAATCCCCGCGACGGAGTGAGCTCCCGTTGCTCTGTCCCAGCTTCCGCCAACCCAGCAGTTCAAAAGCACACCAGTGCAAGTAGATAAATAGGTACCGCTGTGGCAGGAAGGTAAAGGCTTTTCCGTGTGCTCTGGTTTCCGTCGCAGTGTCCCGTTGCGCCATAAGTTGTTTAGTTATGCTGGCTACATGACCCGGAAAGCTGTCTGTGGACAAATGCTGGCTTCCCCAGCCTGAAAGCGAGATGAGTGCTGCATAGTCACCTTTGACTGTACTTAACCATCCAGGGGTCCTTTACTTTTACCTTTACCTTTAGACAGGGTGGCATTACTAGCTTCCCAGATATCTTCGGTATCCTCAAAAATGCATTACATTAGGGGAAATTGTGTTGCAATTCAGGCAACATTGCACACAAAAATGTGTATATACTTTACTAAAATACCAATGGATTTTCATGGGGAGCTCAATAATCATCTGCAAACATATGCTGACATGTGGAGACTAAACTATTAAGGTTTGGAAAAGTCAGAAACTGAGAGGATTGACCTGGCAGATCTGCACATCCCTAGCAGCACTCCTACTCTTGGAGTCCAGACAAAAGCTTAAGTCAGCCTGTGACACCGCAGTCCTGGCTAGTTGAAGAACAATGTGCTGCCTCCTAAGACAATCCTTTGACATCCCGGTGGGCTGCAGTTCTGCAGAGATTTGAGACCTGCTAATTCTGTTGCAGGAGAGCCAAGGAGCATCTCTGTGGATGGATCCAAGCTCCGAACAACCATTGAGGGCCTGACCCCTGGGGCCAGCTATGAGGTCACTGTGATGTCTGTTCGTGGGTTCGAAGAAAGTGAGCCCTTGGTGGGTTATGTCACCACAGGTATGTCCGTGGGGAAAAGCTGTAACACACCATGATTTCATTCGTTTCCTTGTTTTACAGATTTATAAGCCACTTCACACCCAGAAACTGTCAAAGCAACGTACAAAGAACAAAATGATAAAATGCAAGAGATGCAATCTCTAAAAGCAACCTAAAAGCGATAAAACCATTTCTGTAGTTATACCATTGGCAATATTCCGTAAGCAGACCTGGTTACATTTCTAGGAAAGCCTTCTTAAACAAAAACTTCTCCAGTCACTTGAATGACAAGATGCTATGTGCCTGTCTAATTTCAGCTTCAGATAGGTAGCCGTGTTGGTCTGCCATAGTCAAAACAAAAAAAAATTCCTTCCAGTAGCACCTTAAAGACCAACTAAGTTAGTTCTTGGTATGAGCTTTCGTGTGCATGCACACTTCTTCAGATACACATCTGTATCTGAAGAAACTGAGAGGATTGTATCTGAAGAAGTGTGCATGCACACGAAAGCTCATACCAAGAATTAACTTAGTTGGTCTTTAAGGTGCTACTGGAAGGAATTTTTTTTTTGTTTTAATTTCAGCTTCTAACTGATTCCAGAGTGCTGGAGTGGCCACACTAAAAGCCCAGTTCCTAATACAAACTAAGTGCACTTCTGGGGCATGTGGAGCTCCTCTCAGCAGGGCCCATCACAGGTACACAGTTGCCAGACAGGGATATATGGGGCGAGGTGGTTCCAAGTCTTTCAGGGTTTTAGGTGCTAAAAGCAAAACCTTGAACTGCACTCCATAGCATATTGCCAGCCAGTGCTGCTTTCTCAGCAGAGGTGTTCTATGGTGTCAACGGGATGCCCTAGTCAGCAGCCTTGCTGCTGCATTCTGCAACAGCTGCAGTTTCCAGGGGAAGCCCCACATTAAGCACATTGCAGTGCAGTCGTACCTTGGTTTTTGAACAGCTTAGTTCTCGAACGTTTTGGCTCCTGAACGCCGCAAACCTGGAAGTGACTGTTTTGGTTAGTGAACTATTTTTGGAAGCTGAATGTCTGACAGGGCTTTCGCGGCTTCCGATTGGCTGCAGGAGCTTCCTGCAGCCAACCAGAAGCCGCGATTTGGTTTCCAAACGTTTTGGAAGTCGAACAGACTTCAGGAATGGATTTCGTTCGGCTTCCATGGTACGACTGTACTCCAGAGAAGCCTAAGGGAAGCTTCACATAGAGCACATTGCAGCAATTCCATTTTAAATTTGTATACCGCCTTTCCACATTGCTATACACAAGGCAGTTCGCAAGCCATGGGAATGACAAAATATATGACAAAGATCACACACCTGACAACCAATCAGATCCAATACAAATAAGTCATAGTGAAAAGCATGACTACGAAAATAAACAACTTAGTGATCCATTTGAAATATAATATTGCATGATAGAAACAGCAACAACTCAACAACTCTTCCAAGACCAGGAATCCACTTTTAAGAAGCCACCTTGTACCAAGTTGGACCATTTGCACATCAAACCTGGGCACAACAGTGTGTCTGGGGGGAGAAAGGGGTTCTCTCCCATACCTTCTTCCTAGGGTCCTTTCAACCAGTTCTGCCGGGGCTTGTACCTCCTTCAGCATCCTCTTCTCTCCTCCTCACAGTTCCGGATGGTCCTTCCAACTTGCGTGCCATCGACGTCACCGATTCGTCAGCTGTGCTTACGTGGCAACCTGCTGTGGCTGAGATGAACAACTACATTGTCACCTATGGACCTGCCGGTGGTAAGAGTTGGGGATTTGGGCAGGGGTGGGGTGATTTGCAGGTGGTCAAGGCCCTTATTCCATTTGGGAGGCAGCGGGGAGACAGAGAGTGTAATTCATTGCATTATACTTGTTGCCACAAAAGGCAGACATGGCCACAAGACAAGAAGAAAAGGTGTGTAAGCCTTGGACTTCTACGATCTGCACTGTTGTTCTTAGTAGAACTTCAAAGTCCCACAGCTGGAGTCAGACGCAAACTAGTGGCTCGGGGACAGTGGTGGAAAGTGGCCCAGAATTAAGGAGCAAAATTGCTTGCAGACGTGTATAATTCACACTAAAATGCTGATGAATTTCCATGAGCATGTTACCGTTTCAAAAAAAAACAAAGATTGCAGGTGATGTGGCAGCGTGGAGACCTGAACCTGTGAATGCAAAAAAGGTCGAAGAAACCCAAAGCTGACAGATCCACTCATCTCAACTTGCAGCAGGGCCTATTCTTAATAATCCATCTCTTCTCTTTCTATCCCAGGTGCAAGGGCCTCCGAGTCAGTGCCAGGGAACCGGGCTGAGTTGCAGTTGTCAGGGCTGCACCTGGACACGGAATATCGGGCCAGCGTGTATGGGGAGAAAGGAGGAAACCGCAGTTCTCCCGCCAGCGCCACGTTTACCACCGGTATGCAGATGGGGCTGGGGAATAGATAGAGACATTCCAAGACTCACAAAGGGCAGGAAAGCCAGCCAACGGAGACTGGAGGGCCTGAAATAGATTCAGGAGGGAACCATGTCCTAAGTCTGTCCTACCTCCCCTGTCAGAGGCAGTATATGCCTCTGAAGAATAGTGGCTGAAAATCACAAGTGAGGAATGTCCTGTTTTCAGGCTTCCCATAAGCATCTGGCTGGCAGCTGTGAGAACAGCTAGATGGGCCTTTGGCCTGGATCCTGCAGGGCTCTCATTTTGTCCTCCTTAGTCAAGTTTACATAGAATCATAGAACTGCAGAGTTGGGAGGGACCGTGAAGTCATCTAGTCCAACCCCCTGCAATGCAGGAATCTTTCGCCCAACATGGGGCTCAAACACATGGCCCTGAGATTAAGAGCCTCGTGCTCTGCCAACTGAGCTATCCCTTCACTCCCTTCTTGGATCCCTCTGGTTTACGCTGCTGAGACGGTACATGTTGCATTGAGAGGGGCAGGAATCTTCCCTGTGCCAGGTAGATAACTTGAGTGCTTTGGTTTTTCTTAAACCTTTATTCCTCTCCATTTTCCAGGGCCAGATGGACCCCGGGATCTGCAGGCTAGTGAAATCTCATCCCGCAGTGCTCGTCTCACTTGGTTGCCACCCCGTGCCCCTCCTGGTGGATATCTGCTAACCTATGAAACCCCATCTGGACAATCAAAGGTACCCAACTGTCTAGCATTGTTCTGGTTATGCACTCCCCAGTTCCCTGAGAAGTGAGAATTTCCAGGGATGGCACTACAGCGCATGGTTTGTTTTCAAGTCGAAACCTACAAAGCAGAGTCCATTGGAATTAAACAGTCTAAACCACAGAGCCTAGGACTTGCTGATCAGAAGGTCGGCGGTTCGAATCCCCTCGACGGGGTGAGCTAGCGTTGCTCGGTCCCAGCTCCTGCCCCTAGCAGTTCGAAAGCACACCAGTGCAAGTAGATAAATAGGTACCGCTCCGGCAGAAAGGTAAACGTCATTTCCGTGCGCTGCTCTGGTTCGCCAGAAGCGGCTTAGTCATGCTGGCCACATGACCCGGAAGCTGTCTGTGGACAAATGCCAGCTCCCTCAGTCTATAGAGCAAGATGAGCGCTGCAATCCCAGAGTTGGCCACGACTGGACCTAACGGTCAGGGGTACCTTTACCTTTACCTTTATGCAGCAGGCAACAACACCACTGATCTTGTATCAGATTCCCCAGGAGAGAAATTGTATCGTGAATACTCTGGAACTCCCTGCCCATTGACATTAGGCAGATGTCTTCCCTATACTGTCTTTTGTTCTGGCTGAAACATTTTTTTATTTAGGCAACTCTACCAATACGTAATTGGGAAGCAGGTGGCGCTGTGGGTTAAACCACAGAGCCTAGGACTTGCCGATTAGAAGGTCGGCGGTTCAAATCCCCGCGACCGGGTGAGCTCCCATTGCTCAGTCCCTGCTCCTGCCAACCTAGCAGTTCGAAAGCACGTCAAAGTGCAAGTAGATAAATAGGTACCGCTCTGGCGGGAAGGTAAACGGCGTTTCTATGCGCTGCTCTGGTTCGCCAGAAGCGGTTTAGTCATGCTGGCCACATGACCCGGAAGCTGTACGCCGGCTCCCTCGGCCAATAAAGCAAGATGAGTGCCGCAACCCGAGTCGGTCACGACTGGACCTAGTGGTCAGGGGTCCCTTTACCTTTACCTTACCAATATGTAAAGCCGATATGTAGGCCCTGAACAATCCCTCCATGAGAATATATGAAGTGTCAGACTTATTGACTGACTCACCTTTCTGATACAGTGGTGCCCCGCTTCGCAAGAAGAAAGCCCATAGGGAAATCTCCGGGGACCTCTTTTAAATGCTGGCGGTGGGGAGCAAAGCCTTTCCCCCCCTCCGGCCTTCATAAGAGGTCCAGGACGGCGGGCGGGGGCCGAATGGCTTTGCCCCCCACCGCCAGCATTTTAAAAGCAGTCCGGGATAGCAGGGAAGCGCTTCCCGCTATCCCAGACGGCTTTTGAAGGCAGGCGGGGGGGGGAGCAAAGACTTTTGCCCCCCGCCGGCCTTCAGAAGAGGTCCAGGACCTCTTCTGAAGGCCGGCGGGGGGGCAAAAGTCTTTGCTCCCACCTGCCTGACTTCCCAGGGGCTTTTAAATCGCCCCGGGACAGCGGAGAAGTCCTCCGCTGTCCCAGGGTTTTTTAAAATGCTGGGGGTGGGAAGAAAAGCCCTTGTCCCCCCCCCCCAGCCTTCAGAACAGGTCAGGGGACAGACTGTCCCCGGACCTGGTCTGAAGGCGGTTTCCATAGGAACGCATTGATTGATTTTCAATGCATTCCTATGGGAAACCGTGCTTCGCAAGACGAAAAACTCGCAAGAAGAAAAAACTTGCGGAACGAATTAATTTCGTCTTGCGAGGTACCACTGTAGTAGGGCTGGGAGCACTCTACTATAAGGGAAGAGTTTTCACTGCCCCTCATTGTCTTTTCACTGCCCCTCATTGTCTGCTCCACAGGAGATCACCGTGGACGCTTCTGTCACCTCATATGAACTCCAAGACCTGATTCCTTCCAGTCTGTACCAGGTTCAAGTCCAGGCACTGAGAAGAGGCACTCCTACAGGCCCAACTGCAACGTCCTTCACCACCGGTAATTGCTCTGCCTGGGGCGTCCGAGGGTCAACACATTTGTGTTTAGGCACACGAGGCTTTGACAGCTTCGCAAAACCTGCACCAGAGAGAGAACACCCGTTTGCGTTCCTCTCCCAACCCCAGTTTTTCATTCTGCAGTGATGACATTCACATGTAAGAATGAGGCTCATAAGTCATTAACTCCAAACTCATCTCTGTTTGTGTGAACATGCACCTCCAGGAGGAAGAGGGGGAACTGCTGCTGTTTTCTAGAACAAGAGGCTGCCCTCTCGCGATTCTGCATCTTGGGACCACACGCCCAACCCCTTTATGCTATGAAACAGGAAGATTTAAATGCTAAGTGAAAATTGCCCCCCCCCCCCCGCAAAGTCTCTCTGCCATTTGTAGGCAGTGAAACTAGGGGTGGGAACCTGAATATTCCAGTGGTGGTGGTATCGGACAGTTTTTCTCAGAATAATCCCTTCTGAGCAATGGTGACTTACAGTCATTGGGGCTGGCAGGGCAGAAGGCAGAGGAGGCCAACAGGAGGTGGAGCCAGAGAGCCAAGGACAGAGTGAGCCAGCTCATTCCAGTTTTGTCCCCATCCTCCTCCCTGCTGAATTTTACAAGGACAACATTGAGACGGTCAGTGCCTCCTTCTGCAATGATTATAAGAAGGACAGCAGGAGGGGGCTGGCTGAGGTTGGTGGGACAGTGCCCCATTCTCACCAATGGAGCCTCCACTGAGACAACTCAGCTCACTTAATACTGAATTATGTCGTTCATCTGATCTAGTTCTTTCCCTCCCCCCACCCCCGCCGCTGCCGCAAACATTAGTCTGGTAGCAGGTGCCTTTAGGAAGCTCATAAACAGGGCACAATAATGGAAAGCAGTCCCCAGCAGCTGCTCCTGAAAATGGAGGTTATCTTCCTTTATACTGAAGTGGGAACTGTGACAAAATGTTGCAGTGTGGAATACTCCTCTTTGGGATTTGAGCCAGCTGGCCATGCTCTCTTCCAGGTACTCCATTCCAGCATGCCCTGCCCCAAGGTTTTCTGCTCACCCTCCTTTCAACAGCCAATCAACATTCTGTCAATCTGTCTTCACTGGGATGGTTTGGAGCACCTTATTTCCCCATGTTTTTGTTTTTGTTTTGTATCTTTGGGGTTCCCCTGAGCCTATCTGTATGGATAGCTACATAAAGATCAGCAAACAGAGAATGAGCTTGCAATTAGTATACAGTGGTACCTCGGGTTACATACACTTCAGGTTACAGACTCCGCTAAACCTGGAAACAGGAACAATTGCCGACGCTCGAAGAATGGAGAATGAAACTGATGGATTATGCAGAACTAGACAAACTAACAGGAAAGATCAGATATCTACGAGATCAAAAATTCATCGAGGACTGGGGAAAATTTTCAGATTATCTGAAATGTGTATGTGATGAGCAAATAACGCTAGTGGGATTTCAAGAAGCTCTGTGAATGTTAGAGGACTATTGTATTGATGAAAACTAAGAGGGTGAAGGTCTATAAAATGCAATATAAAATTAGGAAATGCGTATTTAAAAATTTGAATAATGGATGATTGTCAGAAAGGTTGAAGGTTGAAGGAAGTCTAAAAGAGAAAATATGTGATAAATTCAGATTGGATATTATAACTGTATGTTGGAAAATTTAATAAAAATATTTAAAAACAGGCTCCACTAAACCAGAAATAGTACCTCAGGTTAAGAACTTTGCTTCAGGATGAGAACAGAAATCGTGCTCCGGCGGTACGGCAGCAGCAGGACGCCCCATTAGCTAAAGTAGTGCTTCAGGTTAAGAACAGTTTCAGGTTAAGAATGAACCTCCAGAACGAATTAAGTTCTTAACCCGAGGTACCACTGTATGGGATAGACATTGGCAGAGTCGTCTTTTCTTTCCTCGGCAGGACCCCTGAGATACCCCTTCCCTCGGGATTGCGCAGAGGAGAGCCAGAATGGGCCGGGACCCTCAAGAGTGAGGACGATTTATCTTGGGGGCAACCAGGACCGCCCCTTGCAGGTGTACTGCGACATGGAGACTGACGGAGGAGGCTGGATAGTAAGTATTAAGGAGGGTAGCCGAGGAATGGAATTATGGGCAGAAATATTCAAAGGTGGTGTCAGCTCAAAACAGATTCCCCCATCCCTGTGAGGTTTCTTCATTTATGCAGTTGTGCTGTTCAGGAGCATATTGAGGGGCATTAATTTGCATTATCCAGAAATCCAGCTGTAGCTGGCACTGACATGGGGCCACCTTGATGCAAATTTTATTTGTTTACCCACAGCAGACATAAACACACTAGAAATTCATTTGGACGCCCATGCGCAAAACTCTCTCTCACACACACACCCTACTGTGCCATTTCCCTCTTCCTCTTCTCTTTAGGTCTTCCAACGTCGGATGAACGGCGAGACCAATTTCTGGCGCAACTGGCAGGAATACGCCACCGGATTTGGCAACCTCACCCGGGAGTTCTGGCTAGGTGCGTACATCACTTAAAGATAAAGGGACCCCTGACCATTAGGTCCAGTCGTGGCCGACTCTGGGGTTGTGGTGCTCATCTCGCTTTATTGGCCCAGCGAAAAATACGGTAGATATGGCGGATTGAACCTGACCTGCATTCATGGTAGCTTCTCCAGCAATGAGCTCCAGTCTTTTGCAGAATGTTTATTCAGCATTTCACGTATACTATACCTTAAAAGGTAAAGGTAAAGGTACCCCTGACCATTAGGTCCAGTCGTGGCCGACCCTGGGGTTGTGGTGTTCATTT